ATCCTTTAGAGTTTGGAGAACAACTCTGAGATGACTAGCATGATCTTTCTTATTCCTTGAATAGATTAGAATGTCATCAATGAATACGATAACAAACATATCTAAATAAAGCTTGAATACTCTATTCATAAGGTCCATGAACGTTGCAGGGGCATTGGTCAAACCAAAGGACATACAAAGAACTCATAATGACCATAACGGGTCCTGAAAGTTGTTTTTGGAATATCACTTTCCCTTACTCTCAACTTATGGTAGCCTGATCTGAGGTCTATGTTAGAGAAACAACTGGCACCCTAAAGTTGATCAAAGAGATCATCAATTTTCGGAAGAGGATACTTATTCTTGATAGTAACATTTTTCATCTGACGATAATCTATACACATTCTAAGAGAACCATCCTTCTTCCTCACAAATAAGACCGGAGCGCCCCAATGTGATACACTTGGTCGAATAAAACTTTTCTCTAGGAGTTCTTTCAACTACTCTTTTAATTCTACTGGTGCCATCCTTTATGGAGGAATATATATAGGATGAGTATCGGGAAGAATATCTATACCGAAGTCTATTTCTCTCTCAGGAGGGACTCCGGGAAGATCATTTGGAAAGACTTCTGGAAACTCTCTTACTAATGAAACTGATTGAATAGGAGGTATCTCAACACAAAATCATTAACTCGGACCAAGTGATAGACACACCCCTTGGAAACGAACTTTATCGCCTTAAGGTACGAAATGAAACTACCCTTAGACATTGTTGAACTACTCTTCCACTCTATAACTAGCTCATTAGGAAACTAGAACTTAACAACTCGAGTTCTACAATAGATTGAGGCATAACAGGCATGAAGCCAATCCATACCTAGAATGACATCTAAATCTACCATATCTAACTCAACTAAGTCAGCCATGGTGCTCTTGTGATTGACATAAATGGTACAATCACGATAAACTCTCTCGGCTAGAATAGACTCACCAACAGGTGTAGAAACATTGAAGGGCTCATGAATTTTCTTAGGAAGAACATCAAAATTCATTGCAACATATGGAGTCACAAAAGATAGACTTGCTCCTGGATCTAGCAAAGCATAAACATCAAAAGTAAAGACGTTGATCATACCAGTGACAACAAAGACTTTGATCATACCAGTGACAACATCTGGTGAATCCACTTGCTCTTAGAGACTAGTGATAGCATAAAGACGGTTTCCTCCTCTGTTTGCCCCTGAAGTAGATCCTCTAGATGCAACACTATTTGGTAGAGCAATTGAATAAGATTTGGCTCTATTGCCCCCATTACCATTTCCTTGTCTGTTCTTAGGGCACTCTTTCATAAAGTGACTATTCTGAACACACTTAAAGAAACTAGTGGAGCCATCACGACACACCCCTGAGTGGGTCCTACCACACTTAACACATCCAGGAATCCCATTACCTCCTTGTGCAACACTACCTTCAGACTGTGCTGGTCTAGCTCTGAAATGCTGTGAATTCTTACTATTGTACTCACCTTTGTTTCTTGGTGAAGGTGCACTAGAAGATGATGGAGCAGGTCCCTTTGTTTCTGTTGGAAAGATGACCGGTTGGCCTTACTCTTCTGTTGTCCGGAATCATTCCCTATCTTAGCTCTCTTGTTTCAAAACTCCTCTCTATCTTTCAGCTTCTCTTCCTCAACCTGTTGTACATGGATTATCAGTCTTGCTATGTCCATATCTCCTATCAGCATAGCTTCATTGCCTTCCTTACTTTACAGATGAGACAACCCAGTAACGAACAAACTCATCCTGCCTCTCATGTCAGCAAGCATCTCTGAAGCATAGCGGGAAAGTTGCGTGAACTTTAGACTATACTCATGAACACTCATAGATTCTTGCTTAAGAGTAAGGAATTTTCGTCCCTTTGCTTCTCTTAATTCACGAGGAAAGAAACTCCCCAAGAAGGCCTCCTTAAATAAAGCCCAATTCACAAGTGGTGCAACTTCAGCTCTATTCTTTTTCCACTAATCAAACCAGATTCTAGAGACACCTTTCATTTGGTATGCAGCTAGTTCCACTCTCTCAGCATCGGTGACATGCATAATCTTGAAAACCTTTTGAAGCTCTTCAACAAAGTTTTCTGGATCCTCAGTGATGCTTGAACGAGTGAAGCTTGAAGGATTCACCCTTAAGAACTCGCGGATCCTTGAAGTATCAACCATTTTCTGTCGATTCTCCCTCTGTCCAACTTGATTGGTCACAACCTGACCCAACATCCAGATAGCTTCCCAGAACTCAGCATTGGTGACCTCTTATTGGGGTTGAACTTCTGGTGCATTAGGTACCCCTTGATCATGTGGTTCAACATTCCTTCTAGTGGGACGACCTCTGACAGCTCTTCGTGGAGGCATGATCTGAAAGAAATGTGCAAGCACGACTTAGTAGAGATGAACTCTATCGCACAAAATGAGTATGAAATAAATGAGATAGTTCCTAAGTGTCACAGCCTCCTAATTATAGATGTGGCACGCTTCACATTGATAAATAGAACTCTACCAACATGGCTTCATAAACTTTCTAGGACTCTTGAACTCTGTGCTCTAATACCAAGTTTGTCACGCCCCGAGCCTACACCCTGGGTGGGATTGGCACTCCAGAACCATTGTTGGTCCCAAGCGAAGCCTTGGTCTGGCTTAATTCTTAGCGGAATACTTACTCATGATTAAAGAAAGTATTGAAATAGAATCAAACTAAATTGTCTCAACAAATAACTTAGAATGCTTTAAAGATCAACATTCAACTGGCCAAAATGGCAACTCAAGTCTCAACATAACTGAAATGGAAAAGACTCAAGAACTAACGTCAACTAACTGTCTATAAAGCCTCTAACAACTGAGATGGACGTCGGTACAAGACCCACGACATCCTAATGAACTAAACTGATAAAGCAACAAAAAGGGATCCTCCGAAAGCAAAAAGACTCACCAACAACTCTGAAGCTCAACTAGATCAACGATGGCAGGATGCTGATCCTGGTTACCTGGATCTACATCATAAAAAGATGCAGGCCAAATGGCATCAGTATATTGAATGTATGAGCATGTGAAAGGAATACTAAAACATGATATAATCTTGAAAGGAACTGAAGGAAGACATACCTGGTCTCAACTCAACTCATTTCAATATAAAGCAATAATGTAAATGCAATAAACAAAAGCTTTTAAAACATGGATAAAAACTCTTTTTATTTAGAAATACAATGGTAACTCAGTTTATATGCTAGGATATAGTAAAAACTCTGTTTGTATGTGAAAATACATGTAGTCTCTGTATATACAAGAATACAAAATATAAATGTGGGAGTTTCTCTAACCGACAACCATCACTTAAGAGTTATGTGATGATACAACGTTTTGCCTCACGCTGCCAGGGCCGTCCTATACCTTGCCGGAGGTATAGAACCTAACAACTAAGTGGATCCACTAGTCTATGCTAAAAAACACTAAGAAATCATCTAAAAAGTATGACCCTTTTCTACCCACGTTGGCTACATGATTTATGGGGGTTGGGAGTTGTCTGAACTCTCCCCCATATCGGTGCTCAATACTACTCCCAAATATGTAACTACCTCATATGTTTAAAAACACAACTTTTTTTTTGTGATTTGAGATAATTTCTCAAAAACTAGCCTAAAGGCTCTCTTGGAAATCAGATTTCCTCTCTTGATTAAATGCGAAAACATTTACTCTTTACTGAAAGCTAGCTCAAAGGCTCTTTTAGAAAGCGGTATTCCTTTCTTGATTAAATGTGAAAACATTTACTCTTTACTGAAAACTAGCTCAAAGTCTCTTTTAGAAATCAGTGTTTCCTTTCTTGATTAAATGTGAAAACATTTACTCTTTACTGAAAACTAGCTCAAAGGCTATTTTGGAAATCAGTGTTTCCTTTCTTGATTAAATGTGAAAACATTTACCTTTTGGGAATACATAGCCCCCATATACTCTTTTGAAGAAATGAACTTTATTTTTTACTCTTTACTCAACTCAAAACTCAAGTCTTAAAACAAGTTTAAAGCATTTCGAAAGACTTTTGAAAGGACTCTAAGAACTATTTAGACTTGGGTCTTAACTTTCCTTGAATTTATATTTATGGATTCAAGGTTGTGATTTGTGATAGGAAAGATTTCGTGATGTTAAAGAGTGTTTTTAGATAATTAAACCTGAGAAACTATTAAGAAATCACTATCCGAAAACAAGTCCACCACGCGGAGATTGATTTCACGTATTAGGACACTTCATCCAATTAGAAGTGTCAACGATCGTTAGTCACCAACTAAATGAGTTGAGGTCGAATCCCACAAGGAGTGGTATGTGTTTAAGATTCAAGAGTAAAGTACGAATGTGTACAAGTCAATCATATGAATAGATATTTACGAATAAAAACATGATTCAAAGTAAGGGGTAACACAAGTGTCAAGTAAAGGAGGTTTGGTTTTAACTATCAGCTACAAATATAGCAAATAACACGAATTTCCAAATAATGAGATGGGTTCTTGGGATGTGATTGGATTATAAGCTAATATAGACAAATGGGTGATTGCAATTGTTAGTAAATAGCTGTAAATCAGTGACGAAGCTAGGCTTTACTGGGGATAAAATTTCTCATGAACAATTTACCCCGAATCAAATTAGTTTCTTTCAAACTCCAACAAACATGCAAAATAAGAACAACCTTCGCTTTAGTCTATTCCTTCTCTTGAGTTGAATGTGTGGAAAATGGTTTAAGATTCACTCCTAAACCCATGACAACCCAATACCCACAGACCATTGATCTTGGGCGTATTTATGCGCCTGATAACAATTTATCCCATATACATAACTAAGTTGAGAGCATTTTTAGTAGTCGGAATTAAGTTTTAAGGGTCTTTTGACGTCGATTCTTCTAACCAATATGATAAGATGTTTCAGGGTGAAAAGCATAGAAGAACGAGCCAAAATAGGGCACTTGGTCAGAGGTCAGAAAATAGAAGATGAAGTTTCGGAGAAAAAGGGCTAAGAAGCTGGAGAATACACCACGAGGGAGCATCTCCGCGTCGCGGATCCAAAATGCGTATGCAGAAATGGAATTTTACTTAACAGTGGAGTGTGCGATGGGAGCGCGTCGCAGATAAGGTTAATCTGCGTGCAACTATAGGCGAGGGAACAAGTCCGTGTCGCGGACCTGATCACCAGAAATTGGCCACGTGTTTTATTTTAGACTATAAATAGTTTAAGTGTATTATTTCATTGGATATTCAGTTTGAAAAAGACGGGAGAGTAGCGATTTGGTTAACCCTTTCTAGGGCTTTTCTTCTACTTCTTCATTTTGGTAAACTCTTTCATGATCCATAAACATTACTTGATGATCTTTTGTTCTATGAGTAGCTAAAGACCCTTTTTCTAGGGTTGTAGCTACAATTAATGGTATATTAGTATTTGTTTCTAGCATGAGATGGGCTTTCTTGTGATTTATGCTTACATTCTTGTTTAACTATTTTAATGCATGATCAACATTAAGATACACTTGTTGTTTGATTTTGAACTCGGAAGATGAATAGAGGGATAGACCAAAGAATGTGAGAAGTGTGTTCACTCTAGAGTAAAATTAGAGTGCTTGGCGTATAAGATAGTCTTATACCTATATACCGAACTTGATGAATATGCAAGAAGATAGATTAATGCTCCGCCATTGGTTCATGTCTATCCCCGCTCAACGATGTAGTTAGGTTGTCAGTAGTGGTAGGCGATTAGAGGTTGGGAGACCATGATCGTAAAATGAACCTTGCAAATCCATAATGATGTTAGTTGGTCGAATGCTAGGATAAAGTAATTTTATGTCGGAAATCGAGTCATGCTGGAACCCTAGATTACATTCCCATAATGTGCAATTCTCTTGTTTAAAACTGTTTGATTGTAGTACTTAATTTGTGAGATTGTTCAGCTCAGTAATTATAATCAAGTTTCTAAAATTGTTTGCCACATAAGTAAATTTATTTTAAACTTATCAAAGTTGTTGTCTGTGATTTGAAGTCCCTTGGATTCGATACTCCGGCTCGAAAGAGTCGTTGTACTACTTGAGTGACCACGTGCACTTGCGTGTGCTTTTGGATGCAACAAGTTTTTGGCGCCGCTGCCGGGGACTTTAAAATCGGCAGATATATAATTTTTTAGGATCTAATTTTTTTTTTTGTACAATTGTTGACAACTTTATCTTGGCTCTTCATTCCACAGGTTGTGTCAGGTTTGCACACAGGAAGGTGACCAGGACTTGGTAGAGCCTTTAGCTGAACTGGAGAGATTTGTTCATTACCGGAGAAGGCAAAGAAGACTCACTTATCCTGTTCTTCTTGTGGCTAGTGAATCAGAAACTTCAAAAGAAAGGACGGATCAAGACCCACCGATAGTAATGGCAGAGATGAAAGTGAGGGATGTGGCAATCCCACAAACCACCAATGTTACCTCCAGTATTCTGAAACATGCACCTGGTGGGGTGTTTGAATTGAAGCAGAACATGGTGCAATTATTGCACACTAACGGGCAGTTCACTGGTTTATCTCATGAGGACCCACGAGTGCATATCCAAAATTTCCTCGAAATTAGTGACACATACACTCCAATGGGAGTGAACACTAATTATGTGAGGCTCACATTATTCCCCTTTTCTCTGCTGGGGGAAGCAAAAAGATGGCTGAACTCTGAGCTTGCAAATTCCATAACAACTTGGGATGATCTTGCCCGAAAGTTTTTGATAAGGTTTTTTCCATCCGGTAAAACAGCCAAGTTGAGAAGCGACATATTAAGCTTCCGACAGAAAGGAGGGGAAAACTTGTACCAGGATTGGGACAGGTTTAAGTCCCTGCTGCTAAGCTGCCCACATCACCACCAAGCTAATGAAGTATTGGTCCACACTTTCATTGAAGGGTTGGAACCAAACACAAAAATTTTACTTGATTCTGCTACAGATGGACAAGCTTTGGAGAAGACATATGCTGAGCTGTTTACATTACTTAATAGAATTTCACAGGGTAACCCCGAGTGGAATGGCGGAGGAGCTAAACCGGTCGTACAAAAGACTGCTAGAGTGTTGGAAATGGATGCAGTGATAGTTTTGTCGGCACATATCGCAACAATGCAGAATATGATGACTACTCATTTCAGCAACATGTCACTAGGACAACAACAAGCCCAAGTTAATGTGGTACATCAACCACAAGCTTGGTGTGAAGTATGTGGAGGTGGAGATCACAGAGCCGAGGTATGTGGAGCAAACCCAGACTCTGTTCATTTTGTAAGTAATGCTCAACGATGAGGAAATGACCAGAGCTATGGAAATACCTACAACCCGAGTTGGAGGAACCACCCAAACTTTTCATGGGGTGGCTATCAAAACCAACATCAAGGACTCAACCAATACAGACCACAGAGTAGTGGACAACAGTACCATCAGCAAAGCCATGAAAATCAGCAAAATCTTGGTAATCAGTAGGCTGCCAAGAAAAATGATATGAGTGTGGAAGACATGCTAAAACAAATCATGGCAGATCAAGCTAAATTGGCAGCAGATGTTCCAAACAATCAATTGGCGACTCAGAACTTGGAGAAGCAGTTTGGGCAGTTTGCTAGTGCTCAAAATTCCTGACCACAAGAGGGTTTGCCGGGAAATACCGACCCAAAACCGAAGCAGGTAAATGTTGTGAGCACTCAGAGTAGTCGTCCATTGGAGGAGTTGATGCCAAAGGAAAAAGTAGATGAAGAAAAAGGAACACATGTAGATGAAGCAAAATCAAGTGAACAAAGGGTGAATGAGGAACCAAAAGTAAAAGCACCTCCTCCCTTCCCACAGAAATTCAGGAAACAAAAGGAGGAGGAATGTTTTGGTAAGTTTATTGAATTTCTTAAACAGGTACATGTTAACTTGTCTTTGATAGATGTGTTGCAGGGCATTCCTAAGTATGTCAAATATGTGAAAGATGTGGTAGCCAATAAGAGTAGGTTGGTTGAATATGCAACAGTGGCACTCACAGAGGAGTGCAGTTCTAGTATCCAGAATAGGCTCCCAATTAAGTTGAAAGATCCAGGAAGTTTCACTGTTTAGATATAGATTGGCAAATGTGTTGAGGCAAGAGGTTTGTGCGATTTGGGTGCAAGTATCAATTTAATGCCTACTTCTATGTTTCTCAAATTGGGACTAGGAAAACCCAGGCCCATAACCATTATGTTGCAGTTAGCTGACCGTTCAGTGTCAACGCTAGATGGTGTTATTGAAGACATCTTGGTTCAAGTGGGAACTCTGATTTTCCCCATGGACTTTGTCATTCTGGATTTTAAGCCTGACCCAGAGGTCCAATTTATTTTGGGACGCCCATTTCAAGCAATCGGAGGTGCATTAATTGATGTGGAGGCCGATAGACTCACAATGAGGGATCATGACAAGGTCGAGGTATTTGATGTATATAAGACACTGAAGTTGCCTGCAATATATGAGGAGTTGTCTGCAATTACAGTCGTTGATGAAGCTATGGCATCTAAATATGTTGAAGCCCAAGACCCTTTAGAGAAAGTGTTAATTGGGCAAGACATTGAGGGAGATGTTATAGCCCAGGAGTTGGCTAATGTCCTAAATGTCCCGAATGTGAGTATGCTTCACAAGTTCGTGAAGCCATTAAACAGAGTCATGGGACCACCTCTGAAGCCTTCGATTGAGAAGGCACCAAAGTTGGAGTTAAAGGCTCTCCCTTCTTATCTCAGGTATACATTCTTAGGTGCTAATGAATCTTTACATGTAATCCTTTCTTCTGCTTTGTCCGAATTGCAGGTTGAGGCATCTCTGAAAATATTGAGGAAGAGAAAAAGGGCTATAGGATGGCAGCCATGACATACATGGCATCAACCCAACTTTGTGCATGCACATGATATTCATGGAGGAGGGGCATAAGTCAATTGTGTAACCGTAGCGTAGGCTAAACCCAGTGATGAAAGATGTGGTGCGCAAGGAGGTGATCAAATGGCTGGAAGCGGGTATTGTCTATCCAATTTCGAACAACAAGTGGGTCAGCCCAGTTTAGTGTGTGCCTAAAAAGGGAGGCATAACGGTGATCACTAACAAAAGAAATTAGTTGATTCCAACCAGGACAGTGACAGGATGGCGAATGTGCATGGATTACAGAAAATTGAATAAAGCTACCAGAAAGGATCACTACCCGGTCTCTTTTATCAATCAGATGTTGGACAGGTTGGCTCGACAAGAATATTATTATTTCCTAGATGGCTATTCAGGATACAACCAAATTGTGATTGCACCAGAGAACCCGGAGAAAACTACATTCACTTGCCCGTATAAGACATATGCTTTCAAGAGAATGTCGTTTGGGCTATGCAATGCTCTAGCCACTTTCCAAAGATGCATGATGGCCATCTTACATGATATGGTTGAAGATTTTGTGGAAATATTCATGGATGACTTCTCAGTATTTGGGGAGTCTTTTGACAGGTGCTTGGAGAATTTTGACAGGGTGTTGGCTAGATGCGAGGAAACTAATCTTGTCCTAAACTGGGAAAAATGTCATTTCCTAGTGAAGGAAGGGATTTTGTTGGGTCATAAGGTGTCAAAGAGAGGGCTGGAAGTTGGTCGTGCCAAAGTGGAAGTAATCGAAAGGCTACCTCCCCCATTTTCTGTTAAAGGGGTGCGATGTTTTTTGGGTCATGCTGGTTTCTATAGGAGATTCATCAAGGATTTCTCTAAGATTACAAGGCCCATGTGCAGTCTCCTAGAGAAGGAGATGAAATTTGTATTTGATGAACAATGCATGCAAGCTTTTGAAGCTTTGAAGAAGAAGCTAATAGAAGCTCCAATATTAACTTCCCCAAATTGGGAGCTTTCTTTTGAGCTAATGTGTGATGCAAGTGATGTGGCTGTGGGAGCTGTGTTGGAGCAAAGGAAAGAGAAGGTGTTTCACTCAATATATTATGCAAGCAAGACACTGGATGCGGTCCAAACCAACTATACAGTGACTGAAAAAGAAATGCTAGCCTTGGTTTATGCTTTTGACAAGTTTAGATCTTATCTGGTAGGTACTAAAGTTGTTGTTTATACTGACCATACAACTATCAGGTACTTGTTCAACAAGAAGGATACAAAGCCGCGGTTAATCAGGTGGATTCTATTGCTGCAAGAGTTTGACATCGACATCAAGGGCCGAAGAGGTTCTGAAAACCAGATTGCAGACCACCTGTCAAGATTGGAGAGTTCTTCACATGTAGGAGAACAAGGTCAGATTAGGGAGGAATTCCCTGATGAACAACTATTGGCGCTAGAGGCGAACGAACTACCATGGTATGCTGACATTGTTAATTATTTGGTTAGCGGATTGTTTCCACCGGGTGCAACCACCCATCAAAAGAAGAGTCTTATTTATGATGCTCGATTCTACATATGGGATGAGCCTTATCTCTTCAAGCAAGGGCCGAACAAAATGATGAGGAGGTGTGTTCCTGAGTCCAAAATGAGACAAGTGATGGATAGTTGCCACTCGTCTGCATATGGGGGTCATCATGGAAGTGAGAGCACTGCGCATAAGGTGCTTCAATCAGGATTTTTTCTGGCCTACGTTGTTTAGAGATGTTGCAGGTTATGTGAAAAGTTGTGATCAATGTTAGAGGATGGGGTTTATTTCCAGACGACATGAGATGCCCTTACACAACATCTTGGAGGTTGAAATATTTGATGTCTGGGGGGTCGACTTTATGGGGCCATTCCCTCCATCGAATGGAAATCAGTACATACTTGTGGCTGTGGACTATGTGTCAAACTGGGTTAAGGCAGTGGCGTTGCCGACCAACGATGCTAAAGTGGTGTTGAAGTTTCTAAAAAAGCATATCTTCACTTGATTTGGAACTCCTAGAGCAATAATCAGTGATGGAGGGACACACTTCATAAATCAATTGGTAAAGAATATCTTAGCTAATATGGAGTCAGACACAAGGTAGCTACAACATACCACCCTCAAACTAGCGGCCGGGTAGAAGTATCAAACAGGGAAGTAAAGCAGATTCTACAGAAAATAGTGAATGCCCAAAGGAAAGATTGGGCAATGAAGCTTGATGATGCTTTATGGGCATACAGAACCACTTATAAGACCCCGATAGGGACTTCTCCCTATCACTTGGTGTTTGGTAAGGCGTGTCACCTTCCAGTTGAATTAGAACATCAGGCTTATTGGGCAATGAAGAAGTTGAACCTGGACCCAGAACTAGCAGGGAGAAAAAGGATGGTTCAACTTCATGAATTGGAGGAATTCAGACTCCATGCTGATGAAAATGCTAAGATCTACAAGGAGAAGACCAAACGATGGCATGATAAGCATATTGTTCCTCGAATTTTTGAGCTTGGGAAAAAGGTATTATTGTTTAACTCTAGATTCAAGTTGTTTCCAAGTAAGTTGAAGTCAAAATGGAGTGGACCATTCGAGGTGGTGCGCATGACTGACCACGGTGCTGTAGAGTTATGGAATGAAGGAAGGCAATCCACGTTCATTGTGAATGGACAAAGGGTGAAGCATTACTTCGAATAAGAGGTGGTTCGAGAAGAAGAAAGTCTGGAGTTGAGCAATAAATGAGGGGGTGTTGAGTCGTGCCGCAACATTAAATCAGGCGCTACTCAGGAGGCAACCCGAGACTTTGTAAGTTAGAAGACAGTCTCGTTGTATTTTATTTGAATAGGCTAGTTGGTTTAATTTTTGTTATAGGTTAGTGCAGTAATCTTAAAAGTTATAATTTGTAATTTAAAGAGAAAAAACAAAAAAATTTGGGGCGAGAAAACAGTAAAGTCTGTGATGTCACCGCGTCGCGGACTTGTTTCTGCAAGAGGACAACCCCCAAGAAAAAATGGGGTGTGTAATCCAGTGGAGTCCGTGACAAGAGCGCATCGCAGACTTGTTTCCTCCATGAGATGGATGCCCCAGATAAAGGGGCGAAGCAACAAGGCATGTCCACGACATATCTGCGTCGCGGACTTGGTAAGTTTTTCGGGTAGTTTTCAATTAAAAAGTTGGGTTTTACCTGACTAACTAGGTAAAAACCCGACCCTCATTCCGTTTTATTCCTTAAATCCATCTTTTTCACCCCATTTTACTTGATTAATAGCTTTCTCCTCCTTTCCCCTTCAACCCTAACCCCTTCCAAGATCAAATCCGTGTCGCAAAGTGGAAAGTTCTCCTCAAGTTCTTCACTTTTTGTGGGTCTAAGCACACAAGGTATGTGTCCTAATCTTTTATTTCCCTTGTTGGGATGATTCACGAAAATAGGGCTAGTCTTTATGCATGTGATGGATGATTTCGTGTGATGTATTTAAATTGTTGCCCATTTTTGGTTTTTTGCTCCTTTATGGCTATGGTGATGGAAAAAAAAATGTTGGAGTTCAGTGGGATGACTCTAATGCGGAAAACTTTTTGGGGAAATTAATAATTGGGGGGTTGTAAATTCTTGAGTAGCAACTTGGTAATGGGGAAAGTGATTGAAATAGAATAATGGATGCTGGTTCGAATTCTTGAGTAGAATCTGAGATGTTTAGGTTTGTACCGTGGTGTTTGTGAAGTTGTGCTCGAGAATAGGTGTGGGGTGGCCCTCCATTATTGAGCCTCAATAACTGATATGAGATTTGTCTAACTGCAGGTTACTATGTCTAGCACACAAAGGTCAGGCAAAGCAGTGGCGTCCAGCAGCCGTAAGAGACTAAGAACGGGCACCACAATTCCCCCAACACCCGCAGTCCCAAGAGGACAAACTCAGCGCTACGGGGCCAAGGCTGTCACATCGAAGGGGAAAAAGTGGTAAAAATCACACACGGAAGCCAAGTACTTCTCGGATGTGATACTTGATGATGTCAACCTAGAGAGGGAGTTCCCACACATTGTGCGTCGCCTGTAAGAGCTGCACATGGGTTTCATTTTTCAGGATCCATCCGAGTGTAATGTTAGTATGGTGCAGAAATTCTACGCAAATTGTATGCCCGATGCCCGTTCTCACTTTGTAACCGTGCGGGGCGTGGAAGTCCCTCTGAAACCTTCAGCTATAAATGAAATACTGGGGACTGCAGATGCCCCTTCTGATGTCCTCATGGGGATCAAAATCAGCCCTCCGTATCAACAGATTCGACATGCTTTGTGTGGGGCGCAGTCCACTGCAAAATGGATTCGGCATGGGCACCGTGGTTATCACCAGTCATATCCTTATGCTCACATGAATCGAGAAGCTCGGGTATGGTTAAAAACTTTCATGAATTGTCTTATACTAGGGCTGCATTTTACCGAGGTGACGAGAGATCGTGTATGCTTGGTCTACGCTTTAATGAAGGACCTACCCATCAATGTAGGAGCGGTGCTAAAATCAGCCATGCGCAAGGTTAGAGTACATCGAGGTCGAAGGTATGCATTTGGGGGACTAATTACTAATTTATGCAGGTGAGCTGGAGTTCCAGAGGAGAGTGTGGACTACATGACGCCTCTATTCACCGCACCACTAGATGTCACAAAGACAAATGGGCCGGAGAACATACATGGACCCACCCTTACCACAACAGAACACAATCGGTGGGATAAGATGATCATGGCGCGCATGTTTGGATTGGAGATGCTACGTCATAGAAATGAATGTCGAGCTTCAACTCAGGAGAAGTTGGATGAAGTTGCAACGAAGTACCCCCTGAATGAACAGGCTGAGGCATTACTGGGACTTGTACTTGCATTTATCGAACCCGTATGGGATGATGTCCCAACTGATGAGGACAAGAGGCGAACCATGTCGGATAGTGAATCCGATTCGAAAGCAGAGAAGGGTGACCTTTTGGCTATTGAAGGCACCGGTGGTGATGCCGACATG